TACTACTACTACTACTACTACTCCTACTACTCCTACTACTCCTACTACTCCTACCACTCCTACTACTACTACTACTACTACTACTACTACCACTACTACCACTACTACTACTACTACTCCTCCTCCTACTACTCCTACTTCTACGACTAGCATTGCTTGACCACCACATCCACTACTACTACTTTTGCTGTTCTAGACGCCACAACAACAAGAAGTAGTTAGTAGTTCGCGGGGGGGGGGGGAGGGGGAAAAAAGAAGAGAAGTGCCTGACGACTACTTTCTCGCGTGCTTCCTGCTGCGTCCTGTCTCCCACTAAGATCGGCTCGAGTGGAAAAGCGCAGAGCTGTTGAATTCAAGAAACTGTGGAGCAACATCACCCCTGGAAGACCCCCCTCTTCTACGGACGGTGAGCACGAAGTCTAGCTCCAGGCTGCAAGACTGCATCATACTGCATCTGTGATCGCAAAACTACGCCGTGCCCGAAGTTAGGGCATCCACGCAGGCACTGCGGGAAGAACGTAGCGAATATCCAACTCGGTGCAGGTCGAAGGAAGAGCTCTGAGAATCGGTGCCAGAGTCGCAGGAGTCGGCCTGCGTTTGTCGGGATATGTCACCCCATCCAACCCATGATTAGTCGAACACAATGACACACACTGCCAATCATCATGAGTTCATTGGTACACGCTTTTGGGCTTGCGTCGCTGCTGCTTTCTGCGATCTCAAACATCTGCAGGGTATACTTGCTGATTTCCAGTCCGTGAAGACTCTTAGCTCTGTATGAACCCCACTGCACGACGTGCCGAGAAACCTGGCTACTGTTCAGGCTTTAGCAACTTCGGTACCCATGAGGTCCTGTCAATTGCAAAGTCCTTGATCTGTAGCGATTCGAGGGACATCTTGCGCAGGAGCGACACAAACCCTGTGACGTCCTCCTCCTGGGGGTGATTTGCTTTCGAAAGACATGCGGCCCCGCTGAAGCAACTCTCCTCAAGGCTCTGCAAGCGAAGGCATTTGAGCTGTCCGAGCTGGGATTCAAGGGATCTCAGCTCACACAGCTGCGACACCCCTGCCAGTCCTTACACATGTTGGCTTAGGGTTTAAGATGGTTTAAGCACACGGCAACTCGAAGGCAAATTCTGGCGCAAACGGCAATGCAAACCCGTCCTCTCACCTCGAACTGCGGGAAGCAGAGAAGGCGGCCAGGGAAAAACTGCGCTAAGTGCTCCGTCCACAAGTCCTGTCAGAGGACCATTGCTGAACCATCAAGTCAATTCAAAGTTCTACGTGGTTCTATGTCGTTCTACGTATGCTCGTCATTTCACTAGAGCCTCTGAGCATTGACACTATCCCCAGAAGCAGTCCAGCTCCGCGCTTGGCAGCTTGGCGCTGATCGTCAAAGGTCGCCCTGGGCTCCACGACTGTGCTCGAAAGGCAGAAACGTCGCAGACCTGATGTGGCTTTCAGAGAAGTCGCGGCGTCTGTGGCAAGTCTCAAGCCGACAGCATCTCAGATGAGAAGATGTGCGGCCCCCAAGGTGCCTCTACTCCAGCAGCTCCAGCAGCAGCGGTGTCAATCTGCAAGAATACCAAAACGGGCGCTGCGGCCTGAAGGGTGAAAGTGCAGTGTAGATACGTGCGAACGCGCATACATATGCATGATTGTACATATTTGTGCATGGAAAATACTTTATGACATGCAACAACCTCCATTTTCTTTTCTGCCTATGCACGCACCCACACATTCACAGACCCTATCGACTGGATACTTGCAGATATGCTTGCACACCAACATACACCGCCATATGCATCCATCAAACCGGGAGTTCAACTGACAGGGCATTCGGAACTGCAAAGACCCCGCCCCCTCTTACATTCTCGGCATAAGCTGCTGATGCTACCAAGCAAGAGGATGTGATCGGAGCACGGTGACCCGAAGGCCTTGGGAAAACGGACAGGAAGTACTGTGTCAGTCAATTCAGCGCGAATCAAGCAGCAGCACAGCAACCTTGTCGTTGAGCCCTCTCCTTCGCAGGTATTCCCCTTTGAATCATTCACAATTATTCAGTCTTCCGATGTTCGGGCGGACCCGCAGGATTTGAGTAGGCTGTTTTGAACTTCAGGAAAGGCGGAAACTGAGGTGGCTCTTCTGGTCCGGATTTGTTGCTGCGACGGGCAGGGGTTCACAGCAATCAGATTCAGATGAACAAATTCCGGCGAGCACGAACATGGCACATGTGTCTGCTTGCCAAACTTGCCATTTTCTTTATTTGGGTCGCTCTGTCATCAGGTCGGTGGAATGCCCGTCAAACCCTGACGTGCCTCGATTTCAATGGGAGGACCTTGCACTATCACCGCCTGCACCTGATAACAATCGGCCCTTAGCCTACCTTAGGATAATGCTCGGTTGCCTCCTCCCCAATGGCATTTCGCAGAATCTGCTGGTACTCAGCGCTCGCCATTTGCAACGCAGCCAGCTCAGGCAAGTGTAGTACTTCCAAGATGTTGCGAAGCAAAATCACCTGAGCTTGCTGGCATCGCTTGTGCTTTGTGGCCCCATCCAGTGCAGCCCAATCTCCGGCAAGTCCGACAATATCGGAGTTCGTTGCGATTCAGCAGCATTCTGCGGCGTGGATTTCCTCTCCGTTTGAAGGAACGTGCCGGCATCATGTCGTGTTCGTACGTGCATGCATTCGTCTCCTCCTGAGCCGCAGCCTTCGGCAGACGCCCATCTGCATGTGACGAAGCTGGGAGAGAAAGCCTGTGCGCTTCGTCTTCTCTCTATATTATTTTGCCTGTCTCACTCTTTATGCAGTTTTTTGCATGGCTGCACGTGGGTACAGTATCTGGGGCCGCGCTCGAACCAAAAGACGCTGCCAGGTGTTGCAGCATTCGTCCGAAAGCTTTTCAGCAAACTCCGGGCCACGTGCTCTCGCTTCCAGTCGTAAGCTGAGTAGTACCTTCGTGGCAATTGTTCAGGCTCCTGTCGCCCTCTGTTCCTTAATACTTAAGCTGGGGCTTTCGCTTGCGGAGCACCGGCTCGCCTAGAATCCACGCCTTGGGACCTCGACTTCTGCGATATGATCATTCTGCGGTACCTTATTGCCAGTCAGAATCAGTTTCTGGGAAGCCGACCTATGGATGGTATCTCCTCAACCGGCAGGAGAGAAGCTCGGCATATAAGCTCCTCCTGGCATGTTCAGTTTCGACGTCCGCATACTTGCCCAGCAGTCCCTTCTCGGCCTCACCAGTGGCATTCGTGATGACACGCAGGGCTGCTGGACGGGAGTATTCCTGGCAAGTCTGTAAATCCTGCTTTAGGTCGATGCCCGTTCAGTACACTGTGCTGTCCTCTGCACCAACCGTAAGTTCTAGCCCATCACCGAGGTCAAAGACGATGTCCGGCCTGTGCAACAGCGACAGACATCTGATGTGTCAAGCTAATTTTGAACAAGCCAAGCTCGTCCGAGCTCCATACCCTTGCTGGTTCCTGCAGTCAAAATACTCAGAGGAGTCTGCCGGAGGCACTTTGTCATCGTCAACCTGGGAACCGCTTTGTGAGGATTTTCGAGACCGTGGTTTCGGACTCAGGCGTGCACCCGTCGTGCCAAGAGCCAATGCATCTTTTGGACATAGGCCTAGCAAACAGCGATGTAGGCAAGCTGCCAGCACGAACGGCTCCTAATGACTGCACAACCAGCGGCCACACTACAAAACTACAAGCACAGATGCAAAAGCTTTCGAACGTAACACTTCAAGGACCAGTCTTGCAACAGTAGCTGCCCTGGCCTTTGGCACACCTATGAGAGACGTCCCTGTGTCTGCGATTGCAGTGCAGTCGCCGGTGTCGCAGAGGTCCACTGTCTCGTTCTTGGTCCGAGGAGCTTGGAAGCAGTCACGGCTCTTTAGATGCTGACTGAAACCGTCTCAGCTGCAAACGCCAACTCGGATGCTTCTGACAGCTAACTGCCAGTGCCCATGCTCTGGCTTTGCTACCTTGCAAGAACTGGAAAGAGAAATGTTTGTGTTTGTCTTGACTACTGTTCGACGACGGCCCAACCCCCTCTCCTACTCCTGCTCATGCGGCTGGGGCTGCGACGGGGGCCCAATGCAGCTCCGAGGATACTCTCTCCATGTTTATGCCTCAGGCTGCCAAGTGCTTGCAAAACGACTACGGGTTGGCAAACGCAGCTGTGCCATCATCAGTTTCTCGAGATGCAAAGTGTTTCTGCTGCTTGCACATGCAGTTAAGGTGAATGCCTCGAACTCGAACTGAGACACAAGCAGGATAATTAAGGAGCTAGTGAGCGGAAGGATCGAAATCCAAGGACTTCATTGCGACAGCATAACCGAGCGCTTTTGCATCAGAAACAGCGTCGGAGCCGTGCGCAAGACTCAGACTACGCAGTGCTCGCGCTAGAAATGCTGCCGTTGCCTGGCGAGAACGAATCAAGGCAGTGGATCCAACTAAGCGCCGCTGTAGTCAATGGTCGGCTGCGAGCCTTTCCTGCTCAGGGGGGCCCCTGCAATGAGCGATCCCTCCTCCACACGGGATTCAGCAGAGACTGCTGACATGCTTTCATCACCGTCTTGGCCTCTGGTGAATCGATCGCGCCCTCGACTTCACCATCTTGACTATGGTCAGCTTTTGCAAAGCCGACTCGGCGTGAGGCCCAGTCCTGAGTCGAGCTTGGCGCAAGCAAAACAGTGAAAGACACACGATCCGACGACGCTGATGCTGGGAGATGCTGGGGTGCCGGCATAGATGGTGTAGTACTTCCTGCGCCGGACCGAGCACCGATACAGTTCAGAGGACCGACCAGGTGCATAAAGCTGCTCCTGAGGACCGGCTCGCCCAAGATGAAGGTTCGGGGGCCAAGAGGTTCCTGTAGCCGACTTGGAGCTAAGCGAGTGCAGGTAGCATGGGGCCGGCATGCAGCGCTTGGGCGACAATCCTTTAGATCCAGAGGCAGCAGAAGCGACCGACAGGTCAGCTTCCAGGCATCTGGAGCCTCAGGCACCTGGAGCTCAGATCATGTCGTAGCGTTAACCTCCGCCGTTGTCACATGTTTAATGCAAGGCCCAAGCCGTACATAACTCTGAGTACGACGCAGTCATATTGAAAGGCTTTGGTCGAAAGTAGTCCTGCGATTTGCAAGCTGCTGTGAAGCAAAATCTCATTCAAGCCTTTGGTTTGGGTTTCAGCGCATGACCTTGCGACTCTAAAGCTACTAAGAGCCTCCTGCTATCACTACTTCTCAGCCTACGCCGGCTTGTTTCACGCAAGCTGCACGACCTGGCCTCCGGATCCAACGCGATTCCGGGAACCTCCGGGCCCAAGTCGAAAGTGAGAAGAGCGCCCTCCTGAAACTCCAAAGGCATGCAAAGTTCCGTACATTCACGATTACGGGCAATGCATCATAGACTCCGACGGACAAAGGCCACACACACACACATGGAGTGGGTCGACCCATCTTAGCGATTGTGAGTTTGTCACACACCGCCATGTCTACCCAACCATGACTTGCTCCCTATCCCAAGGTCCACTGCTGCCTGCACTTTGCGCACCGGACATGTACTGCAAACAGCAGAAAAATCGCGAGCTCTTGGAAGCTGCACTGTCAACCAACATGAGAATCACGAACAAACCGAGATTGCACCTCTGCCGACGAACAGGACGGCTGCAAGCACCCAACCGCGTCCCAACCAGCATGACGGTCACTAGCACTCCACTTCAAAATTGGCCAGCTAGGTAAAACCAGTCTCTCGGGACAGATTTTGCAAGCTCCCGCCTTCAAATTTTGACCAACGTGCCCCACGACCTTCTGCTGAGTTGTAGTTTTGGGCCCTTAAAGCTTAAAAGCATTTATGATTAGGTATCTCTATAAGAACCATACGGGATACTTTTAAGTTTCCCAAGTGCCACGTCGTTCCATGACTGACATGTAGGGAGTAGGAAACTGAGCCATCGAGCCATCTAACTGCCAGACGATGTCTATACCCATTGCCAACCTTAAGGCCTTAAGGGTTCTGGCGTGCTTTCGGACTGCTCCGATTCAGGCTAATCCTTGGTTTTTCTCTGTCCGCCTCCACTCCGCCTCCCACCTCCGCTCGACACCCACCCGGCACAGCTGTGCCAGTTGCAGAAAAGCTTAGACCAGTCGGTGCGCGGCTTACAAAATGAACTCAAGCAGCGTTGAAGTAGTCCAGCTCCTGCTCTCTGCAATCTCTTGCCAGCGCTTGATCTGCCATCTCTTGCGTGACGAAGCCTGACCATAGTCTGCTGAAGGGCAACACCATGCACAATGCACAGGCCATCTGACCCTAGCCCCAACTCGGTCCTTCTCCGTTGCCGATTCCCTGTGGAGCAACTAGGACATTTCGAGACAGCAGCGAATGGAGTGTCTTGATGGCCTCCGCAGGCATGTGCAGTCTTGGGCTCCAAAATCCCGAGGTGCGAAGTTGATTTACTCGCAGCCCTGATTCTACTTGGACCCCCGGTCCGCTTCTGAATTCATCAGTTTTCGTCTTCTGCTCGGCCCTGCCTGTCGTGGAGCTCCAAGCAGGGACGTGCCCGTGTCCAGGATAGCGCGACAGCCTCCCGGAGACAAGCTGTGAACGAGATAACGAAAAGTCTCATTCAGAGGAGGTCAAGCTACCTAGCTATCGAGGTCCAACCCGAGGACTGGCAGGAAGGCGACACTTCCTTCTCTCTGTAGAGCGCACCATCAGCAACTCAGTTGCCCCTCCCAGCTGTCGGCCTCCGTCGGCGCACTCATCCAGGACTGCATCACCAATCCTTACCTGATATACCTGCACCTGCCAGTAGCCCAACTCTGGCTTGGCCACGGGTACCCAGGAGAAGCCTGATGCGGCTTTGCTCTCATCGTGACCTCCGAAGGAGATGCTGCTCTGGCCCTGGTCACTGCGGGCCAGAAAGACCGAAAATCGGGATTGCATCGGCAGCTCGGCAGCCATTTGCCCGAAGAAGCTGAAGCCAGGGCCGAGAGAAAGAGCTTCCAAGCCCAGCCCCAAGATGCCATCAAAGTGAAACAAGCTGAAAGGTTGGTCACTCATGTCATTGGCAACAACCATATTCACCGTGGCACAGCCTGGGTTCTCCGAATCCGCGCCTCCTAGGCATGCCTTGTCTTTGACAAACGTCCCTGAGACCTTACCTGTGCCGAAGGTAATGCTGACGGAGTGCTGAGAAATACCTCCCTTTGGTAAAACAGTGCCATCGTGCTCGATGGGCACAGCACTTTCCGACATAGACTCGTTGTATCCTTAGCTCGCTGGAGTCCCACAAAGTCGCAAAGGCGTATACAAAAAAAACAACTCTTTCCAGTATTGCCCGGGTCGCGGTTGTGTTTGAGGCATGTGTCTCTCTGGCAGGCACTGTTGGGTATGACCAAGTGAGCCGAGCCCGTATCAAACACGACCGTGAAGTTCTGCGGCTGCGGACTGCCCACATGCATCTTCCCGAAGTACGCAGTCTTGTATGCCACAACAGTGCCATTCTTTTCAATGGGGACGTACTGCTTGATAAGACGGACGGTATGCAAGTGATCGGCAGATGGCTTTGCCAAAGCCTGTGTCGCATTTTCCTGATTCTTCTTTGCTAAGAGTGCTGCAAGATCTCCGGCCAAATCTGGGGCGTGCTGGCTGCCGTTGCAGCTTTGATCCAGGATCTTGACAGGCGCATTGGTCTGACTCGGTTCAGCCTGCGCTTCCGAAGGCACCTTGGCCTGTTCGGCCTTAGCCTTGAGGGCTGCAAGGGCCGAGGCAAGATCTGGTGCGGTGCCGGGTACGGTCTCCTGCTCAACCCTCTTGGGAAGGGTGCCTTTGCCGAGCGGAGGAAGCGCCAAGAAAGAGGTCCTTGGCGAATGACAACACGAGAATAACCCAGACACCCTGCTTTTCCACAGACAGTGGATTCCATTTTGCCACATACAACTGGTGCAAAGATTTAAGAATCGCTCGCAGCAACTGCCCTCCTTATTTTGGGCATCTGCTTCTGAAACTCCCAGTCGATCACAATCACTCGCATACTGACATACTGACACCTTGGTAGTCGTGTGTTACACTATAGGCAAACCTCACAGCAGTATTGATGCCGAGCCAGTCAATGCAATGGCAAGCCGCTGCCTTCAGATCAGCACGAAACCGCAAGCCGCTTGACCCTTTCTAAATTCGAGAGAAGGAAGGTTGCAGGCAACACAAACAGAGACAGGCAAACAGTGACACACACACACACGCACACACACTCTTGGCTGCGCTCTGCTGTCGGGCAATGCTCGGCTTCATCTATGTGGCCGAGAGTCGCATCCCCGACCCCCGAGCTTTCAGCAGATTCCACGAAGTTGAGAGAACTCAGCCAACATTCGCTCAGTTCACATGCACCGAAGCTGACCGGAGATGTTGCGATAATGCTGTCTTGTTGCAGGATGAGCACAGCGACCCTTGTGGCTGCGGCCAGGAGTTGCTTCGCCATGATGACCTGGGAAGCAAAACCGTGGTCAAGGTACCTTCTCGCAGGTGACACATGGCTTCTGGGTGCCACACCTGAAAAAGTGGTAGTTAGAGCGTAGATGACTCTCCGTTTGGAGAAAGGGTGTTTCTACTAGTTCGGTACCGGGAATTGAGCCTGAGCGGCTCTGTCGTTCGGTTGATGAGCTGCAGATGATATACGATAACAAAGTAACCAGTCAGAACGCGCTTCTTCGGTGTGCCACGAGGTAGACTCTTCATGCAACACTGCGTCCCAGGACACGGCCACCAAGGGAGATCTCGCTTGCGTCTTTGTCCTGGACCAGATGCCGCACAGCATGTTGCAGCCGAAGCTTCGAGTGCGAGTCCTCCTTAGCGATGAAGACACCGAAGATGGGAGCGAGCTGGCTCATCCTGGCCCGTGATGATTTGACAGCCGCACATGTATCCTGAGACTGTCACGAACGACGAAAGCACTGAGGATTGCGGAGACATCGGCATCAACATTACGTGCAACTGCCTCATTTTCGTTCTGCGTCAGAGGGCTCAGAAGGTGTATGGCTCCAAATTAGTTTCAGGTCCTCTCCTGTGAGAGCGCAACACACGTCCTTACGCCCAGCTCTGTTCGGCGGCGCAGGAAAACTTTGTGCCACTGTTCGGTGGAGCAGCAAGTTATACACCTGGCTTGCAAGTGAAAAGTCTGTACAACAATATCCCTGGGCGCATGAGGCAAGATCTGTGCTGGCAGTTTGCCAATGTCGTGGAAAAAAGCACGATACTCCAAATCGAGGTGCCCCTGATCGGAGGCGACCTCCATCCGATAATTTGGTAGATTTCCGCAGGCACTCGGGCATTCCAGCCCAGTGTCTTAACAGCGACGCCGTTACAAAATTCAGGCTTGGTATGCCATTCAGAAAAGCAAGCGAACTGTGACGGAGTCCATCTGCGAACTGCCCGATGATACCGGGCCCAGGTACTCTTCCGCTTCTCGTGAGCTTCAAAGTTTCGAAAGCGAATTCATAAACGCAATAAGTTCAACCAGCAGCACTGATGGCTGCCAGCCCGTTAACCGGTCCATTCAAGAAGGTGCTGGCCCAGCTCCTTGACATCACCGCAGCACATTCGTCACGTGAACTTTCACAGCCATTTTTTTGGCAAATCTGGCAAGCAAATGACCAAGCCGCTGGATCTTTGAGACGTTTTCTTTTTCCACATCGTCTCAGAAGCATGAATAGGTGGAACCGCCTTCAGGGTCCAGAGCTGCGCAAGGTACAAACGTAGCAGCACTTGACACTTGAAACACTGTGTGTTGGAGTGGACTTGACTAGTCATCGCCTCCACCCTGTAACTTCGCCCTCTGCCTGGCTTCACGACGAAAAGATCCTGGTCTTCTGCGGAACATGAACCCAGAGTGATTCCATTCGACTTGCTTGCTGCGCTCCAAATGCTGGTTCTTCCAAGTGAAGGCTTCTTGGCGTCGGACCGGCTTGCCCTCCAAGAAAGTTCGAAGACTGCCCAGTTGTTTTTGAAAGTGGTCGTGCCAATTGTCAATCCTTGCTCGAGCGATGCCCTTTGCTAACACCACCAATGACAATGATGCATGACGCTGTAGGTGTTGTCGCGGACAACCCGCAGATTAGGGACCGCGACGTGCATGCGAATTTCTAGAATACTCTCATGATAGACTCTAGCCCAGCTGCCATACAAATCCTTTGCGGCCAGGCTGGCAAAGTTGGGCTTGTACCAGCCGCACCGCCTGTTGTTCGAGACCATCGGCTTGACCAGCTTTGGCCTGCAACTGATCAGGGCAAGGCTGAGGGCGGCTGAGATTCTGAGAGACTCTATAAATCCATATGACTCTGGGCTCCTGTCCTCATCTTCTGCTTTCCTCGGTTGGGCAGCTGGACTTGGCTCGTGCATGCAGGCGAAGGCATAAATGTGCTCCTCTAGGGGTGATCGGTTCTTCGTTTGACATGCTATGGTTGTTCCATCTGTCACCAAGCTTCTGCAAAAGGAGCTTGGGCTTTCCGACTTCCTTCCCCATCAGAGCAGCAAAAGAGTAAACTCTTTCCTGCTACTACCGTCGCATTCGGAGCGTGACGAGCCTTTCGCGGGGTCTCTTCGCGGCTTTCAGAGCCATCTGAGGAAGCCGCCGTACTCTCTGTGGGAGATGGCGCCACGGGTTCTGGGCGACTTGAACGGATGAAGACGAGGTCCAACAACTCCGGGCTCCGGCCTTCGGCTTCCGGTTTCGCGGCGAGGAGTGCCGCCAAGTTGGAAACGAAGGATGCGGTCGAAGCTCGAAGCAAAGCTTCCTTAGACTCTAGACACTGCCGCACTTGACTGCGATCCGGACCTGCGCCGTGACAGTGCTGAAGCTTCGCCAGGCGTCAAAAGCTGGGCCGGGTACATCGCAGAGCTCGCTCACGGACGGCTTTGACTTGGAGATGTCCGGCATGCTTGAAATTTAGATGGTATTGAATTTGCACTAAAACCTACGTGGTTTATGAGGCTGTCCGGGGCAAACATCGAAAAACCTGAGCAAAGCCACCTTGTCCGAGTTTACGGCTTCGTAGGCCGCCACTGCTGCGGTGGGATCAGGTTCAGGGTCCACGCGAAGCCGCCAGTCCCACCTGCTAAGCGCTGGTACCTTGAAGGAGAAAACGCTTCTGGCAAAGTGGACCAGTACTCAAGCACTTTGCAAACCTGCCTTGACGGAGGGAGAGATGGTTACGGAGCGTCCGCTCGTTGTTGAGTCATACTTCCTCCTCACCTTGCCGTTGTCAGCATACAATATGTCAACAACGGCCGCCACGCGCTTGGGCCAGTGCCTCGGATATGGCATCCGCTGTAAACTTGTCGCATCCAAACTGCAGTAAATCTCAGGCGCTGGTAGTGCGCCGCGTTCGCTATACAATGCTGTCAGGTCTGGTTTCAATTCAACACGGCATCCAAACAGTGGGCAAAGGCAGAGGTATTTCTTCGTTCACGGACTGCAAAAGAAGCACTTGATCCAACGTGCACCCAACATGTATGCTACTTATCTAGTCCAATAAATGCCTCTGTGTCTGGGGATTACGGGGCGGGAAGTGGGGAGGGTCAGGCATGTGTGCATTTCAGGTCTGCGAAACAGAAGAAAAGAATCAGGACCAACAAACAAACAAACAAACAAACAAACACACACACACACACACATGCAAGATCATACATGCATACGTACGATACCCTACCCTACCTTACCTACCCTACCGTACATGCCATGTCATACCACACCACAGCAGACCATACCATACAAAGCAACATGCATGCGTGCATACCTACACAAGTAAGTAGGAACGTATCATGCAAACACAAGACATCTTCGTCTTCGTTAAACTCACTAAACCTTGTCGGAAGAGAACCCCAAGACCCCAAACCTCAAAAGGACATGTCGAGGGAAAAAACTAGCCTTAAGAGAAATGGGTAGTAAGCTAGGTGGAATCGGGGTGTTGGGTGAGAAGCCCCAATCCGGAAGCGAAGCCTTCGCGTTTGAAATTTTAAACTGGTCCTAAACCCTACAGGAAGATCGCCCGAAACTCCGATTTAAACAGTAAACCTGAAATGGAGACGTCGCGTGGGAAACCAGAAACCCCATAAGATAAACGATAGCAAATGTTGGGTGGTAAGCCCTAGGCCCTGAAACCGTGAACCCCAAGAGGAGATGTCGTGTGGGAGCCCTGAGCCCTTAAACATGTTGGGCATGAAGCCTGAAATGCTAAAGGAGATTGATGAGGGGTAGGCAAGGCGAAACTTTTGAACCCCTGGACAGCGCTAAATCCCCACAAGGGAACATAGTGGGCAGAGAGCCCATCATCGGAGGGACCCCCCAGCCGGAGCCTGAACCCCGGCCCTGAACCATCCGCTCTGGCCAATCAACGGATGAAGTTGCGACCTGACATCGGATAGAGTTACAACTCATTGACAGAACTTCCCAGCTGTCCCAGCTGAGCTGCTCCACGGCCATGCGCTGTAAACAATAGAGCCGTCGGTTGTCTAATGTGTACCACTGCTCTTCCTGTCGACGGACTCTGGACTGTGCATGTCAGCTGATGGAGCCTGCTGGTTGCATTGAGGATCCTGGGTCAACTCCGAACAAAGAAACAACACCAAGGCGCAAGGTAATAGCCATCATGATGACCGTGGGCCCTACAGTAGACACGCTGAACGTTTAAAGGTTGCCGAGTTCGAATGCAGACCATAATTTCAGCATCGGCCTTATCTCCACAGTCAGGAGCGTGCCACCGGAGGATCTCAATGTTCGGGAACGGCGCCTTCAAAATGATGTCATAGTCTGCACCGCCTAGCAACGCACAGCTTTCTACATGGGGGACTGCGGATGACTGCGGTACTCAGGCACAAGAAGCCTTGGCCCTGGCCCAGCCTGATGGGGCTGCCAGGATTTCCGGAATCGTCGCTTCCACAAGACGGCCATCTTGAAAGTGGGTCTTGATGTGCTCCTACTAACTCAACCGCTTTTCACCCCGAACCCGGCTAGAGCAGCGATGCCGAAGGCCAGAACTCCGAGTCTGCGTCCCCCTAAATTTACTAAACCCAAGGGGATGGTCTGCTAACTGCCGGATTCATGGAGGTGCATTTGTTTTTCCATTCTCTTCGGTCCATAGAAGTACTCACTACGTGGAGGCCCCGGCCCCGTAAAGGGTCTTGTTCGGCTGGTCCATGCTGGTCCTTAAGAGGCCCCTGATTCAGCCTGCGGTGCCATGCTGGGAATTTGGACACCGGTCGGCGCTGGGTCCTGGGTGAAGTGGATCGCCAAAGGACAGATCAGCTTCTCCTCGTAGATTGGCATTGTCACCAACCGCAGATGTGCACCTTGTCAAGGCGTCGTTGAATCTCGCATCTTCGCAAAACTTTGGGCAGGGCCGGCGGAGTTCAGTGGTGGAAGGACGTCGGTAGTGGCAGGCAAGTGTCTCAGACTTCCTAGTGGTGCCCCCACCTACAAGATGGCTGCGCTGCCGCAACGTCGCACGAAGGCACCCTCGCGTGTCTGGGCAGAGACAGAAAGCTAAGTGCTACTTGTTGGCCCTGAACGGCTGCGGAGCAGGCAAGGAAGAGTTGACGCCAGAAGAATCACCGGGGACTTGATGCTACGACTGCTACGATATGCTGCACTGCAGGAAGGTGTGGATCCGCTACAAGCCTCGTAAGCTGGCCGTAGAAGCTGAACTCTGGATCCAGCGCCAAGCTTTCCAAGCCCAGCCCCAGCACTCCGTCAAACCTGCTTGCGCAGCCGGTTAGTTTCCTAAGCAAAGGAGGAGCTAGGATCCAGACTCGAATTGCTGGAATGGCTCATCGGTCATCTCCGTGGCTTGCACAACCCTCACCTGGCCCAAGTAGCAATCCTTTCAGAACCCTGTCACATCTGGATCTTCTGCGCGAACACACTGAACATGCCCGGCCACCGCCCTTTGGCCTGGAGGCAGTCGGGGTGCTTCAGCGCTGCCTCCTCTGCTTCACCATCATAGTTGGACAGGCAAACGGCCTTTCAACATTTTGAGCAAGTAAGATGTTTCTTCACGGATTCAGGCACTGCAACACGGCAGTAGCCTCGCCTCGCGTGAGAACTCGCCAACAACTTCCCCAGTTCCATACGCTATGGCAACCTTGCAGAGCCGTCGTCAGAAAGGCGCGCATCCAGCATGGGATCCGGCCTGGTCTCGCTCGGAATCTGCGGGAACAACGTTGCCATCGTGGTCAAGGTCGACCGCAGAAGACGACAAGCTGCGATCCTCAGCTTTCTGAGAGCGTCCCACCGGAACCGAGCTGCCGACTCGGGGCTCCCGGCATAAGCGGTGTGATTCGCGCAGGCAGGCATCTGCGTCAATGAATGTAAGCAGAACCACTCAACAAAACAGGCAGTCAAAGCGGCCTCACACTTCTTCGAAGGGACAATGAAATGCCCAGAGCCAGTATCAAAAACGACCTCACGAAATTGCCGAATGCGGATGAAATGCAATTCGCAGGCTTGGTGCCGAACTGTGAACTTTTGGGGGCGAGGAAGGCCCACAAAAATGGTGCCGAAATAGGCAGTCTTGTACCTGCTGGAGATGCGATTGCGGGACGCACCTTTCAACCTCTGACCCAATGCAAGCGCACATGACTGTGCGGTTGTTCCTGATAACAGGAACATACTGCTTGTCCAGGGGTATCTTGACCTGAGCAATTCGGGACTTCTGACTAATAAGCAGTCTGCCCACGTGCGGGGGACGCCTAAGGCCTCGGGATGTGGCTGCTACAGGCAGCTCCGCTGTTTCCAGCGCGCTTGCATCTGCCTTGAGTCTGCATGCCGGTGCTGAAGGAAAAGATATGCGACAACAAGAGCGGAACCTTTCTTTCCACCACCACCGGCCTCGCAAGAATCAACACTTCGATGTTCAGAACCGAAGATGTCCATGTGGACTCTGAGAGCTCACCCTGTACAAGTGCACGCGCTTCCCTCATCGCAACGTCGTTCCTCCTTCGTTCTGCTCATTCCTACATCTCCTGCTCTTGCCCTGAGCTTTTTGGGTGACAGGTCGAGGGATATGCCATGAAAAGCTGTTGACAACAGCCCCGTCTGCGCAGTGCTGCACGGACCTCCTCTTAGCCTCCTGGCCAAATCAAGCTTTACCGAGGACTGCCGCGCACGCATTGAGTACCGGCCAAAGGCAGGGCAATGAGGCAATCTGTGCTTTCCCGTGTGCACGTGTCAGCTGCGCCTTTCGGGTGTCTGTCTGCACATTGACTCGTGCCCGAGTGCGTCAGGCTGCAGTCTAGAGGCTTTCACTACTGCGACTACTGTGATGTGTCGATTGTGTCGTGTCTGTGATGACGTCCATCCTCAGTGGTGCCTGGCTAAGCCAGCCGCAGGCGTTGCCTGAGAAGTCGGGCAGCAACTCCTTATACAGCTGAAAAACTCCAATCTAGTTGGGTGCCGCGCGGAGTAGATAAATGCGAAGAGACCTAGTAGAGCCTGACTGCGACGCACAAGCAGACGCTTCAAACAAGGAAACAGCACCATCATTGCCAAGACCCTGGCAAGTTGGGTGATCGCTCCCGGCCACATGATGTCGATACGACTCGGATGTTCACGGCTCAGGCTCACTCGCGGTGTCCATTCGTGCTTCCTTTGTCCGGTGGCGCAACTGAGGCGGCAGCAAGGGATGTTCGATATCGGGGTATGTAGGAGTGGCCGCGGCCGTTCTTTTCGAGCCGCAATGGCACAGAGAAGCATCTGACAACAATCAGCTGGCTCCGGGCTTGGCAGTTTGGCTCTGAAAAGCGGGGCTTGAGAAATTCGCAATCTGAGGCCCAGTCTCCTCTCGCCTGCTGCCTTGAAAAGGCAAAACTGCCCTCTCATGACCTACAACTGCTTCGTCCCCAAGGAAGGCGCTCCCTCGCGTGGCTTGCGCCACAGATACTTCAGCTGGTTGCGGAAGCCCTGTTCTGACGAGCGCACTCCCATCACATAGACTTGCACCTCGTGCGCTAACCGCTAACCACGGCCGCTCCTTACGAGCCTGCGAGATCTGTGCCTGCATTGTGCTGTGCAGTCCGATGAGATCACATGTTGCAGAATTGCAGGAGGCATGGCCTCCAGCTGCTGGAGCTGCTTCTCCATCCACGGCACGGCACTCTTTACCACCACTTCTGTTCCAACCTGTTCGAATCTGCCAAATGCCGACGCGTCGGCATAGTGCAGCAGGCATTTCAGCCTGCGCCAAGCTTTGAAGATCTTCACGCGTGAGGCGCGATCCCGGGCTGGCCGGGTTGGGCTTCGCTGTGTCCGCAGCCTCATCAGCCACAGGATCTGACATCGGCAATGACCTGCGAGCATGCCTGGCCTCTGCTGGTGGTGGCGGCGGGGGAGCAGTCTGCACCAGAAAGGATTTGAATAAGTCCTCGGCGCTGCATCTTGTGTTGCCTGGCCTATCACTCATATGAAGCAGCGTGGCCTCTGCCTCTGGCATGAGGAAGTCTGCCTCCGCACGGTAAGGAACTCACAGAGACTGCTTGAAAGGGCTGGGCTTTTTGGCCATGATTTTCTGCCTCAAGGCACCCACTAAGGCCGCTACGCAGCCATGGTTGATTTGAAGCGCCAAGACCAGATTCGGGGCAAAACGTGCCCTGATGCTTTCCAGATTCCTGGTAAAATCTTCTTGCGTGGGGCTCTCTGGATCTGAAACGTCGTGGAGAAGCACAGCGACCCGTGAGGGAACAGGATCCAGCACTCCTTGAGTGCACAACGGTGGCATCTTGGAAGCGTGGAGCAGCTGTTCCAACTGCATGACCGGATCAGGCTCTTTGGACAAGACCACCAGCATGGCGGCTGCGGGTTGGTCCAAAGCCTCGTGCTCAGACCATCTCAGAGATCCGAACAATGCATTGCGCCACTGCTCATACCATGGGCTTGGAGGCTCAAGGCTGTTGGGTCTCCCTGCCAATGCACTAGATTCTACTGTCCATGCAGCCACCTGGTCTGCTTGTAACGTGCTGAGTTGGACTGCCAGGTCAGCGTCAGCGTAGCGGACCCGTAGATTTTCGATAGGGATCTGTCTTTCCAAGGATTGGGCTGACACCGAGATTCCCCGGAAGTGGCCACCGAAAGGGGCGAAGAGCTCCGCCAGCGACAAACCATTAACATCCTTTACCCGTGCTTTGGCCGCCTCGCTTCCAATTACAACGACGACGGGCAGAAAGACCTCGCTGTGTAACCATTCTGCATATCGTCGCGGCTCGTACATTGCCACAGCTTCATTTGGAAACGTTTAGATTTCCTGTTCAATGCATTGCAACCTCATAAGAACCCGTGCAATTTACATCCTGCACGAAAGGATCATGTGACAACTCTAGAACAGGCATGTCAATGTAGAGCATCCTGACAATCTGCATAACATCTTGTGGTCTTCGCAATGTTAGCTATCTTCGTGCTTCACATAAGAGCCACGGGTCAAGCAATCTTCAACCTATCTGCACATGCGACAGGTGCAAACTCAGAAATTGCTGGAAGCGCTCTCTCGTGGTGGCCCAGCGGCTCGCTGCCATATGCAAGCAGTTGCAGGCACACTCGTGCGCGAGAGAACTTCATCACGAGCGGCTAAAGATTGTGTTTGATGGTGATGACGTCGAAGACGATGGTGAGATGATGTTGATGTTTTGATGATGATAACGGTGATGCGTATGATGATGATGATGACGATGATGATGATGATGAGCAGTGAGGGATGGGGGCGGGAAGAGGACCTAGGACGATGAGGGCCAAGTGCATAGCGGCATAGCAGTTGCAACAACTGCGACGGATGCATGATTGGAAACGTGACTGAACAACGGGCAGCAGACCGGACGGACGGATTCGCTGATCCTCGGGCTGCATTGCTGCTTCTCCGGAAGAAGAATGATAAAGTCAGTATAGTCTGATATAGTCTTTATATAGTTTGCTTCGAGGCATAGTGGCAAAAAGTCGCAGGTCTGTAGTAACAGCAGCATAATGATCATGGTGACGATGACAATGATGATGGTGGTGACGATGCTCATGATGACGACGACTCGGCAAATCGCACATGTAGCTGTTTGGCCTGCAAACCACACCCCCACACACCCCCCCCCCCCACCACCCACGCACACACACACACACAGACACACAGACACACAGACACACAGACATACAGACACACAGACACACAGACACACAGACACACAGACACACAGACACACACACACACACACAGACACACACACACACACAAACTATGCGCAAACAAACATGCAAGCAAGCAAACAGCCAAATAAACACACGAAAAGTTTGACTTTAACGCTTGCCGTAGTCAGAGCTACAGTGAGCATAACCGGGCAGTTTCGTGGCCATGTCACAGCGGATAAACACTACGATCATGGTATTTTGACATGTGGCAGCTTGATTTGGAAATCATTTCCTGGCTGAGCGTTGCATAACAAATCTTGCAAATGAGCTCGTGGGTCAGGCTCACACGCGTGACGTACCGTAAGAAATGCCTTTGGTAGGGCGACTGTAGCCCAAAACGTGCAGACTTGTGCAGTTGACAACGAAACCGCCTGGGAATGGATCAGCTAGAAAAGTGCACAAATCCTCAGCAAAAATGAAAGCCTCCAGCGGCAAATCTTGTGTGCGTCTGTCCCTCATCGGACATGCGGGTCTCTTGGCATTCACGGGAGGGCGCATTCCCGTGGTAAAGATGAAACGTGACTGTATTCGCATGCAAGTGGCTGTGAGGCCACTGCAAGCTGTAGGCCCATGTCAACAGGGCAAGGGCGAACTTATAAGAGCACGGGCAAAGCCTCACAGCTTATCATCAACTAAAAAGATGGACATGTCAAACCGCGTTGATGCATGGTTGCCAGCTGTTTTGGCGAATTCATGTCGAGTACATTGGATCATAAAGGCATGGTGCTGCTTGACCCCTTTTCCTAACCCAACTTGTTTAGCAGTCATCACGCTCTGCTGGCTGAACGACAAAATGATGAAAGACGCGCCACACGCGTAGCTGCAGCATCCGCAAGGTGATTGCAAGGGCGGCGCTTGTCCAAAAAGTCTGGGAGCACTGTCGTTCAACTCACATGAGCTTTAACCATTAAGATGGTCACCGACTGCTCCGGTCGCTCCACCAGTACAAGGAATGAGACCCTCCCCACACATCTGCATGCTTCATCAGTGGTGGGCGGGAGGATTGTCGCAAGCAGCGCATCCGAAATCAAGTGCTTCAACGGCATACTGGCAATCTGAGTACAGTGCACCACTGTAACAACTGAAGGGCTAAAAATGATTGCGTATTTCTCAGCCCTGTCGTTCGACTGCTCACACCCTGGCAAGACACATGAGCAGATAGTGCCATCGATCTTGCACGACCTGTCTGCGATAAACCGCCGCAGAGGCTGCAACAGATGACAGCTGATTGGCGGGCCGAAAGCATGAGCCGTCAACAAAGAGGCGCAACGCAGTGCGAGCGATGGGATGCGTGTGTGGCACAGAGGTTGCACGTGTAGCTGTTTGAGGAGAAGCCAACCAAGCCAAACCGCCAACAGCTTCTGGCAATCTGTGCAGTTGCGAACAAGTGTCCCGGGAAATCTGAGCGGAAACTTGTATAGGCCTGACACGCGGAGATACGGTGGAACCTGGAATCCGGCAACTAGCAATTCGGGCACGACGAATCTCTTGAACAATCCCATCTGGACGCTATGTATTTTGTGTCATTGGCAAACTTAACAATGCCCAACTCATCAGTCTGAAGTTGCGCCGAAAAGTGCCGCATTCCTTGAAGATCGACCGCATGCAAGTTGAGCCAGGCCTACTTTCCGTTAGTTCAGCAGTCACCGTTCGCATCCAAGTTTGGGACAATGCAAAACGCAGAAACTTCTCCGTGCACCTCAACCAATCTAAGGACCCGAACTACCGATGAATCAAGGCAGCACCCTCAACAGCCCAACCGAAAGGCAGCGCTGATCTTGCCAAAGACCTGGCTGGCTTATTTGGCAACCCGCCCTTGTTCAAAAGCCTAAGAAGCTCATCATTAAAAAAACCAATGAACTTCCAAAGAAATCGACGTCAGTTAAAAGCAACAACGCTGCAAATTACCAGAAACTGCGGGTCAGAGTCACCTCCCGATACCTCCCGTCAATACCAATGCAGTCTTTGTGCTTTCCCCCGGACCGTTACACCCCAGGGCTGTAGCCGTGGCAGTGCAACATGAGTTGAACTTCGACATTGAAACCTGTAGCAAGGCGTGTCCAAACCTGTAGGTGGAAGAGCAACCCGCTAAGGCCAACCGTTGTTTGAAACACATGCGTTTAGACAGACGGACCTTCGTCATGGAATTGCTCATGTTGCAGAGGCGCGATTTCCGAATGCTTCGTTGTCGACGCAGAGTGTAGTTAACATCAACCTCTAGATCCTTGGCATGCCAGCCTAGCGGAATGCGCACTCCATTGTATATCATCCGCTGCAGCTGCCCACGAAGCTTAAGCGTAGTGGCCGGCGGCCTTACAAGCATGAGGCGTTTTGGATGCAAATGACCACTTGCCAGAGAAAATGAAAGCGCGAGCGCCGTCTGTGCTAAGAACCTCGTGCGCTAAGTACGCCATGCATGTCATTGCGATGACGGACATGCTGCAACCTTCAGGAAACCCAGTTTCGCTATAGTCGGCCACCCCCGCCATGCCCTGCACGAGGAAAGTGCGGGTGAAAGATGCCAACATGCTTTCGCACGCCTGGAGGTAACATGGATTGATTAATCCCCAGATGGATCATCATCCAGAGTAGCGGAAAGCGCAGTAAGGCGTTGAAGCATTTAACAATGTCAAGAATAACCCCGAGCCTAGGAAACCCTTGGTCAAAAGCACTTGCCAAGAAATGGGCAACCATGGCTGTTAATGTCAGTGACTCCAGCAACCGTCGGGGGAAGTTTTGACGAGAGCCAGTCATCAATTCCAGTGGACCTGTAGTGTGCCCAACAGCGATACAGCGGACTCAGGATGGTTATTGGTCGGATTTGCAGAGCGGTACATGCACCGTCTGTTTTTGGCAAACACAATCAAACACACAACGAAGCACTAGCGCTTCAGGCCAAACCGGCCTTGCTTCTGGCGCATGGAAGAGGTCAAACAAACACAGACACAGAGAAACAAACAGAGAGGCACAGAGACACACACGCACGCGCACGCACGCATGCACGCACGCGCACAGGCACACGCACGCACACCCACCCACCCAGCCACCCACCCACCCAGCCAGCCACCCACCCAGCCACCCACAGCCAAATACAAACAAACATCGACCGACACACAGACACACCAACCGTGCGTAGCAGTCTCCAACTCAAGTGCTTGTTCTGCAGACTCTCGTCGCTGGTCCGCAATTCCAGGTCAACCTGCTACTGAAGCTCTCGCCGTGAAACATGGATTCATGCGTCTTCACGGTGAGACCAACACTTTGGCTGGCGCCCACTGCTCACCTGTAATCGTAGAAGCCACGCTTCGTCTTCTTTCCAAGCCATCCAGCTTCCTTGGGTGTCAAGAGTGTCTGCTGCTGTCGATGTAGACAGCAGAAGGCGAAGGATTGAGACGCGCTGCAACATAGTTGACCAGAAGAGGAGCTGGACCTTGCCGTGGGGCTAGTGCTGCCAAGATGGTCGCACACAAGCTGAACGTTTGAGGAATAGGCGATACTTGGAATCACCCAAGTCTCTGTGCAAAACCTGTGATACAGAAGCAACGTCTCGGACACATCTGGGCACCCGCTTGGGCAGTCCTGCATGATGCTGAGGCAGGTATCCAGTCCTATGAAATCCTCAGGCAAGAAAGTGGCACCAAAAGCATAGCTACGAACGTCCCATCGCATCTTGTAAGCCAGCTGCGGCCAAGGTCAGCGGACCCATTGGAACGTTCGTGCCGAGCTTCATGGTCTTGTCAATGTCCTGGCTTTGACTGAGGCAGTTCCAAGGGTGGAGTTTTATTTCGGTCTTTTTTTTTTTGGTCCTTGTTTTTTTTGGTCCTCACGTCCTGTTATTTACACACGATGCCGGCTGAATGTGTCGCCCGGCTGTGGTGCCGCGTCCCATTTTCCGCACAATGGTGGTGGTGGTGGTGGTGGTGGCGCTGGTGCTGGTGCTGGTGCTGGTGCTGGTGCTGGTGCTGGTGCT